AGCAGCAGAAGTAGGAGAAGAAGAAGAAGGCTTTTTTATTTGGAATACCTGTGACACACACACACATACACACACACACACACACACACACACACACACCTGTCTGATGCTCCTGCTGGATGGACCTCCACCAACTCCTCCTCCTCTTGCTGTGCACATAGACATGCATTTCTACTATGTGGTAAGTAACATGTGGTGTGTGTGTGTGTGTGTATGTATTTGTTTAGTGTCTCTTGTTGCCGTGTAACGCCTGCATCTCTGTTCCTCCTTTTTATGTGGAAATTGCTGATAAGGCTGGAAATGAAATGGAAAAAATACAGATATCCGCTGTTTTTGCTAAAAATGTGTGGATATATTAAAATAAAATGGGTTTTAGTAAAAACAAAATGCCCTTTGTTCTCTCAGAGTAAGTTAAAAATGTCAGTTACAATCATAGAAAAGTGTACATTAAATATTAAACAGCAGTGTCATCAGTCAAAGGTGATTGATCCTTCTTTTAATCATCCATGACTTTATTGCGCTGCCATTAAAATCCGTTGAAATACTCCCATGATGAACTCTCACATTTTATGGTTCAACCCAAACCTAATCGCTGTACAATAAAAAGGTCAGATCACTTTTACCTGGCCTGCAAATTGGACCTCATTGTTGTGGTTATAATATCTGTAAGAAAGCAAATCCCTTTACTATCTCTTTAACCACATTTTTTTAAAGATTCTGATATAAAAAAAAACACAAGACGGAAAAAAAACACAAATGCAAAAGTGGAAAGGTTTCCGTGTTTCCTTTGGTTTCTAAAACAGTTAGAAAGAGGAAAATATTAGCCCAAAAAAGAAAGAAGTCACGAGTGCTTTGTGGTCGCATGGAAACCTGGAGTACATTTCCTGAATCGTGTTATTCGTCCCCTTTTCTCCTCGTCTGTATCTGAATGCCTCCCGTATGGAAAAGTAACGTGATACTACAGTAAATGAGCTACATCTGAATATGTGATTAACTCGATGAGGTCATTTTAATGAGACACATCTTTAAAGGGGACCTATCATGCAAAATGCACTTTTTGATGTCTTTTATACATAAACATGTGTCCCCGGTGTGTCGGGGAACTCACGCAGCGTCACAAAATAAAACCCTCTCTTTTCCTCCGTACCCAAATCTCTAAAAAACGGGGCGGGCTACAACGGAGGAGCTGATCCAGATTTGTGTCCGATATGACGTAATATCTGAAATGTGGACCCACGGCCCTATCAGAAACGTTGCTATCAGAAACAATGCCCGACTGTTTTGGACGTAATATGGTCGGTGTTTACATTAGCATCGCTAACACTCAGAGCTAACCTGTACTGGAGAGCATGTGTGTGAAGAAGCAGGAAATAAAAAGGAACTCACCTTGTGGTATAACCGGCAAGAGAGAAAGCCTTTGAGCTTGAGTTTAGACCAGGGTCTCAAACTCAAGGCCCGGGGGATAAATCCGTCCCGCGACTTCATTTTATGTGGCCCCGCAAGAGCTTGCAAAGAATATAATACGTTTATTATACGGTTCCATGCCACTTTACAGAAGCAGGTTGCCCATAAACTACATGTCCCACATGCATCTCGTTTTTGTGACATGCGCACTGAAGAGACTTGCAATTAGTTTGCCATAGGCTTCTGCTTTCAGACGTAGTTAATACTAAGTTATTATCCTATCACATAATAATCCAATTCAGAGGCAATAATGTAATATAATACATTATTTTATATATTATTATATATTTATCTAGTTACAACCGCCCTTTGAGTGCAACCTTTATGCGAAATGTGGCCCGCGATGGAAATTGAGTTTGACAAACCCTGGTTTTTAGACGGTAGCTGCCGGGGTCCCGCATGAGCTCAGCCCCCTCCTTTTTTATTTTGTATCTATTTTTATTTTTTAAAAGCTTAACCCCCCAAATCAGCACTTTTGAAACAGGAAGTGAAATAGAGGGATATGAGGCATGGCTAGAATTGGGTGATCTGTTTGGGTATTTTGAGCAAAACACTTCATAGACATATTTTTTTATATATTTGTATATATCTGAGACCTATGCTATTGCCTACAAATAGCATGATAGGTCCACTTTGAGTTAAACTAAACTGTGGTCAGATCAGGGGTTCCCACCTTTATTGTGCCAAGGACCGGTCAGATACATATAAAAGAAATCGCGGACCGGGTTTGTCAATTTTAACTGATTTTAATATTTACTTCACCACCAGCAGTAGCAACAGAGGCTAATTGTATGTAACAAGCCTGAACAAATACTAGAACAATATGCATCCAAACATATTAACAAAAGTTTAAAAAAAGAACCGGTGTTGTTTTTTGGTTTTTCGGAAAACCAAAAAAGCGACGTTATTCAGTTTTTAAACCAAAACGGGAAAACAGATAAATCAACGTTTTCGTTTTGTTTGTATGATTTACGGATAATCCAGTGAATGCTGGGGAGGAGAAGGCGCATTATGAAGGAGATGTCCGGTCGCCAGGGTGTGTGTGTGTGTGTGTGTGTTAGTTATATACTGTAAGTACAGGCCATTTACCTTATCATACGAACTGTTTTATGACTATAAATTGCATTTAACTTTGTAAAGCCTTTGAGCTCATTGTTTTGGTTTTACGATCATGCAACTTCAATGTTTTAATTGGCTTTCATCAGCCTGGTTGTAGCCATAAATTGCTAGATAGACGTTGTGCAAAGTTTATTAGTGTTGGTACTTAACTGATACAGTTAAAAGTTCAGTACTCATGCACTGGAAGTAAGAAAAGTGTCTGAGATTCGCAGAAGAGAGATTGAAACATTACTGATAGTAAAAGCAACATTATTATATGGCTTTCACTGGCCATCAAGATATTTTGAAATGTAATCTACAAGCAGCAACGTCTGGAGCTTCAACTAGGAAAGGTTTCTTATATACTTTGACTTCTGCCCAGCAATAATAACCTTTTTTTTTGTTGGGTAATATTCTGAAGTCTAAGGTAATAATACTTATGGATGTTGCCGTACGTGGTACCAGACATGCAACCATCTTGTTATTCTTATTTTATTCTATATAACTTGGCCGTGACTCTCTCTCTCTCCTCTGTGTCCTTTCCTCTCAGACATATCCAGACAGCTGCATCACTTTCCCTCTCAAAACTATTATTCTGCATCTGCCCATCTGTCATGCCTTGTTTCTCTCTCTCTGTCTCCTCTGTCGTCTCCCCCGTCTGTCTCCCCCTCTCCCTCTGTCACGGTCAGCACGTACGCCTCCATCATATTTCCTGCTTGTCTTTTTGATTTGTGGCTGTGAGTCTGGAACTTTATTTGGCTCCATGAAGTGGACAAATCACATTCAAATGAACGAGTTATGTAAGACTTGGTTATGGTTATGTACTGCATGCTGAGGCTGTGACCTCTGCACCTGATGCAGTGTTTTTGGTGTTTGTGAGGTGATCACATGTCAAGTAATCTCTTTAAAGTGTGTCAATTATCAAATCAATTCACCTTTAATATTGTGCATGAAGATTTGTTTTAATTTGTTCAGGTTGTAAGACATGTTTGCATCGATGGTGTTGATTTCAGTGTCAGTGATGTTTAAATCTCTATAAAGTTTGATGGTAGGTGGAATAGTTTAATTGTATTTGGGATGTTCAATCTTGTATCATTTGTACTTATACAACCACTTTAAAGTTTGCTTTGCGATTAATAAAAGAAAGGTAACTATCTGACATACAGCAAAAAGAAAAACTCAAATGCTGTTGACTGCGTTTTTACTGGAACTACTTTCGAACAAAGAAATAGTCCCCAATTATTTCAGAGAACATGGGTACTGCTTATGGAAAGAAAAAAATGCAGTTATCTTTCAAACATACATTTTAAACAGCTACTAAATGCACCTTTTAGTAGTGATTATGTTAGTTGCTGCTTTCAAGGTGCAGAATTGAGAAATTTCGAGGCTGCACATGTGTATCCTCCGCGGTCTTAACATCCCCACAATGCTTTGCGCACGGACCAATTTCCAAATCTTTGGCGGAAATCGCGCTCCATTTAAGGCGTGGCCCTCGCATATGACGCACACCCTGTTAGCCTGTTCCACCATTCTTCGTTTTCCGAGGCTAGGAAGGATTCTTGCCTCGCTTCTGAGGAAGTGACTCGAGAAGACATGTCCTACCAAGGAAGCGTCCTCGACATTGAGAAACACCCCCAGTCATCAACACACTTCCTGACTCTCTAAATTGTCCAATCAGTTTGAAATCAACAAAGGAAACTCTGCCTGCTTCCCGTCAGCCAATCAAATCTCTTGATCAAACTCCCGCCCTTACCCACACAGGAGCCAATCACCTATGAGCACAATTAACTGCACCTGTAAACAAACATTTACCTTTCTGAGACCAGCATCATGATGTTTTCTGGAGCTACAGTAGTAGTGCTATTTATGATCAAATGTCTTACCACCAGTTGTAAAACAAGCCTATATAACACGACATATGTGAATCGGATGCAAATTACCATAGAAACAAGAAACCAGGAAGCTAATGTGACCACAATCTCACCGAGTTTCCTGCTTCTCTTCGGTGAAAGAGTATACATGCATAAGAGAGAGAGGATTATTCTGCATGGTGGGTGTGTAATGTCTGCCCAGGACAACAACAATTAACCCGGTAAGACTTTTTAAAATGCTTAAATCAGACTTATCTGTTCTTATTTATGTTCGCATGTTAGCTAATGTGCACGGTGTTCTTTGGCCATGCTAACGGAGAACATTTGATTAGTTCTGCTTTAGAGGAAGCCTGCAAATTGAGCTCCCAAAAAAAGTTGTTTTCATCCCAATTTAATACTTCATAACTAAATGCATTGGATTGTGTTTGTAACTAGTATCTTGTAGGATAAATGCATGTAGAAAAGTACGTTTTAATGTCAATGCAGCTAGTTTTACAAGTCGAAATGCATCAAGTAGGACTATATTTGAACTCTAAATCCATCAGAAATGATTTTGTTTGTGTCTAAAAGCATCAGGATATAATGTTTTTCTTTACACACTTGATACCATTTAATCTGCTTTGGTTGGGTTATTGCATTCTTTGTGACTTTTCTGATAATATAAATGTGTGCGTGGCTTTGTTGTAATGAGAGAAATGTGTTGATACATCTGCTGGTGAGGATATGACCTAACATCTGGGATGATATGCTTCATAATGAACACCATATGTGTTGATGGCATAAAGTGGGGCAAGGTGTGTAAATGCTGGAGATTTTAGAGGGTGGTGACCAGGTTCACTTGTCTCAAAAATGTGGGAAAAGTTGTTGTTTATATCGATTTCCACTTGCATTGGTTATTTTCTGGGTGCATTTTCCACCATTTCTTTGTAAAATTATCTAACAGAATACACTTTTTTATCCTCTCCAGCTTTTTAGACGTGTCTCTGGGAGGAATTTAAATAAGGAAATGAACACATCTGTGGTAAATGTCTCCATCACGAAAGCATTTTGCCATTGGTGGGATGTTTGAGTTAAAGTATAAGTCTTTTTACATATTTGCCATCCTACATTTTAGCTTTCTGTCAACAAATCCCTTAAAAAAAGGCCCAAAACCCAAAGTGTGTTACTTACTCACACTTGAAAGACTTAGTACTGTTATGTCATTTAATTTCTAGTTGAACTCATTGTGTGATACCATTTTTAAATACTGTTATCACCAGGAGTACACCATGGCCTTGTTGTAAAACATGGCTATAAATTGATAGTGACGGCAAGTGTGTGTGAGATTGGATTACTTTTAATACCCTCCAGACTGAACCAGACGGTGGTTTAACTGACTCACGCTCAGTCGTGTTATTTTCAGCTACTTTGTTATAAAACCACCACAATTTCCATAATATCACACTGCTGACAGACTGTGTGTGTGTGTGTGTGTGTGTGTGTGTGTGTGTGTGTGTGTGTGTGTGTGTGTGTGTGTGTGTGTGTGTGTGTGTGTGTGTGTGTGTGTGTGTGTGTGTGTGTGTGTGTGTGTGTGTGTGTGGTGTGTGTGTGTGTGTGTGTGTGTGTGTGTGTATGTGTGTAGTGTGTGTGTGTGTGTGTGTGTGTGTGTGTGTGTGTGTGTGTGTGTGTGTGTGTGTGTGTGTGTGTGTGTGTGTGTGTGTGTGTGTGTGTGTGTGTGTGTGTGTGTGTGTGTGTGTGTGTGTGTGTGTGTGTGTGTGTGTGTGTGTGTGTGTGTGTGTGTGGGTCTTTCAGGGTGTCTTTTATAAACAGTGTGTAATCTCCATCAGTTGTGCTCAGTTATATAACCAGTGGGTACTTCATCTGCGGTTGCACAAAAGCTTTCTGCAGAAATAAGTCTTGAATTTCTGACTGTCAGTAAATTACTTTTTCATTTTGGCATTAGCTTTTATCAAAGAGTGTCCGTTTATTTACATGTTACAGAGTAAAACACCAATGAACAGTTGTTTTGGAGACAGAGGAAAGAAGAAATAGTTCCTCTTTGTTGACTTCATGTGTGAACATAGTGTGACCATGGCAAATGTAGTGTTTTTTCGCACTGTGGTAATTTGTAAATAGTCTGAATTCATGCTTTGTCAGGTGTCTTTGCGAAAGACAAGGGCTTGTTTTAGTAGTGTTCTGTAATACTGAAAGTTAAGTGGCGTTCCCTTATGTCGGAAAATGTGGTATTTTTTGTATTCCTACACCGTCACACCTTAAATGATGGTTTGCAAACAGATGAAAGTAGATCGTATCTCACCATGTTGAGCTCATGTGTGATCATGAGTTTAACCATGGCCTAATTTGTGTTTATTTGTGCTGTGGTAGTCTGTAAAAGGTATGGAATTATTGTTTTGTCCCGTCTTTTTAGCAAGACAACAGGAACACAACTTTTTGTTCTGTAAAAATGAAAGTTTAGTAGTGTTCGGTCACAGAGGAAAGTGTCAGATTTGTTTATTTCTGACACAGTTAACATAGGTGAAGGTAGAAAGTGTTCCTTCATATTGACGTCATGTGTTTGGACCGTGGCATCATTTGTGTTTATTTGCAGTGTGGGAATTGGAAAAAAGTCTAAATTCATGCTTGAAAAGCCAAAAGTCGTATAAAATGCTTGTTTTCTGATCATTTTTCTGTAATAATGCCAGTTAGCTCTCATGTCAGCTTATATAATATAATAATAATATCCTCCCCTCTGTCACGAACCTTGGAGTGACCTTCAATAGCGCTTTTAAATTCGATAAGCAGGTCAGCAGCGTAGTCAAAACCTGCTTTTTTTAAATACGACTATTGGCCAAGACCAAGTCGTTTTTATCGTTTGAGGACCTGGAAAGGGTTATTAATGCATTTGTTACCTCGAGGTTGGACTACTGCAACGCTCTGTACGTGGGTATGGACCAGGCGTCAATTAAACGCCTGCAGCTAGTCCAGAACGCAGCTGCACGTCTACTCACTGGCCACAAAAAGCGTCACCACATCACCCCAATTCTGGCCTCACTACACTGGCTTCCAATTCGGGTCTGAATTGATTTTAAAATCCTTTTATTTGTTTTTAAAGCACTAAATGGGCCGGCTCCGGCCTATATAGCCGAACTCCTCCAGCGCTACACCCCAGCCAGAGCTTTAAGGTCTGCTGACCAGCTGCTGCTAGTAGTGCCCAAGACCAGGCTCAAAACCCGAGGGCACCGAGCCTTCGCAGCAGCTGGCCCGAGGCTCTGGAACACTCTGCCCCTCCATGTGAGGTCGGCCCAGACCCTAGGGGTTTTTAAATCTACTCTTAAGACACACTTCTTCTCCCTGGCCTTCTAGTCAGAGCGGAGCACGACTCCTGACTTTTCCCTGTGTTTTTTTTTTTAAATATCTGTTGTAATTTATTGTCTTTTATTGTGCTTATAGAAATGTGTTTTTATGTGATTGTAGTTATTACATGTACAGCACTTTGGCCCGACCAAAAATCGCTTTTAAATGTGCTTTATAAATAAACCTTGATTTGATTTGATTTGATTATATCAAAAGTGTCCGATTTTTCTTTCCCACATACGTAAACATAAATAATCAGATGGTTACTGAACACATGAATGTAGAAAGTGCTCCTCCAAGTTCAGGTCAACATGACTTTGTGTTTATTCGCCACCTGGCAAGTTGCAAAATGCTTCTTATTCTTTTCTGCAATAGTGAAAGTTGAGTTATATCAGTGTGCAGATTTGAGGATGTGGTCAGAGGGCCGGTTAATCAGTAGCTGAAGAGACTTTAATCATTGTCAGCTCCGGTAAGGAGAGATAACATCTGCGTGGTGTATGTGTGTGTGTTTGTGTGTGTGTGTGTGTGTGTGTTTCCAACATGAGCGCAGCATGTTTTGTAGACGTGTGATTTCTGCATGCATTCCTCTGCGTGTCCTGAAGGATCTCAGCTGTCCCGGCGTGATCTTTTCCCTTTAAATTATGACAGGAAAACCACAGGATTCCCACTTCGTAAACCTCAGTGTCTACTCATGTAGATCCGCGGGGAAGAAAACAGTGGAAACATCAACGAGACTCTTACCATCTTTTATTTTGTCACTCATTTGCTCTGTCTGTGTGTTTATATTCGTGTGAACATTCAGGTTGTTCTTGGCTTCTCTGCTGCTCCTGAATTTTCTTTGCTCACTCGTGGAAACAAAGAGAGAGGCATTCAAGGTTCAAGGTTCTTTATTAGTCATACAACCATAGCTACAGAGTAGTTATGTCCATGAAATTCTTAAGTCCCAGGCTTCTCCAACAGTGCAACACAATATTACAGAAAGACAGAAAAATATAGTGCAAGTAAATATTAAAAGTAACTGCAAAAAGAAAGGAATAGTTTATAAAGAAAGTCAATTGTCAATTGAGTCTGTCCACATGTTCTATAAACGTACATCACCAGTGTGTATATTGTCAGCCAGGGGCGGAATGGGACTAAAAATTAGCCCGGGACTCTCGACCGGCCCACTCCGGTACCGCAAGTAAATACCGCTAGTAAATTGTCAACGGGGGGGGGGTGCTAGTGACTTATCCGACCGGCCCACATCGTCCGACCGGCTCGCTTCAGTACCGGCCAGTCCGCCACTGTTGTCAGCGTTTTGATAGATTTGCTGCGGACATCAGCCTCTCGTTGGTTTACAGACGTCTGAGGAGGGGTTTTGTTGCTTGGCTGAAGAGTTGAGAAGCACTAAAATACTGTCATCAGTCTGGGTTTTATTGTTTCTCTGTATACGAATGGGAAGCTAGACGCTGGAAAAGTGAACATTGAAAGAATATTTCACTGAGAATATACATATTTGACTGCCTTATCCCCCACTTCTACCATCTGCATTTAAAAAAAGATACACACATGAAGACTAATAATCCAAAAAAATATGAGGTATACATCAGTCTGAAATTAATACTTTAAGTAATGCTGATACGTCTGTACTTTGACTCATGATGCATTTACTAAACTCAGCTTTGAGCAGTTCTCCTGCATTTTAAAGGTCCCATGTCATGCTTTTCCATTTATTACCCGTCCCCTTGTGTGTTATGAAGGTCTTTCTGCATGTAAACGGTCTGCAGAGTCACAAACCCTCAAAGTACACCCTGTAGCGATTAAAACTCTAACACAGAAAAGACCTGTCTATGCCCCAGAACGCCTCGTTGGACATTTCTCTTTTTCCATTGTTTGCTTCCTGGGTTCA